TGCCCATCTTTCTTCTTTCCCACTCCTCCGCTCCTTGGTGTATTTCCGCTACGTGTCAATATACTTGGCCTATTTTTAAAGAAAAATAAAAAAAAAGAACAGTATACATGTGAAGTCACATTACATTGAGATCTAACACATCTTTTTTGGCTCTTCTGAGAACGTCTTCGAGGATTGAACATCATTTCACAGAGATAAAACTGCATTGCTGGATTTAGAAATCTCTCCTCCCTGGATTGACTTCAGTAGTATCTCACGTTTCATGGAGAAGACCACAGGTGGAATCTACATCTTCTTACAAAAGGTCTCTGTTCAGCGGTGGGTTTCACATTTTGTTACTACTGGTTGGCCTCCCGCGTGCGCCTGCTTATGCAGGCATGTGCACCACTTCTGCACATGTACCCAGCCTTCCCCACATGCGATTTGCTTTGCACGTGTCTTCCGTGAAAACGCCCGGCCTCAAAAACGTTCCTAAATAGGACGGTATAAAGCAGGGCCACCTGTGATTTCCACTACCAGTTCGGGCAAACCGGTCCAAACTGATCCGAACCGGCTTAATACCACCTCTGTCTCTGCTGTAAAATTGGAAATACCGTGGCTTGGTTGAATTTGCAAATTATTTAACCAAACAAAAACCAAAACAAAGCCACCATCTATTGCTTTTTTCTTTGTAGCTAATTTTTCCCCTCTGAGAATGACTTCGGTAATGGCCCGAAGCTTGTGATAGCAAAGTGGTGATTTCCAACGAAACAAAGAAGAAAGGAAGGAGAACTTACTTCAGAGGCTCATCAAATCGAACCGTTGCAGCACAATGGAAGATCACGTTGACCTGAGGGAGCAGCTGCTCCATGTCTTCGGAAGAGATGGCCAGGTTTGGCTGGGTGAACTCAGCACTGATGGGCTTAATCTTCTCATGGAAATTGGGCCATTCTTCCCGGACTCTATCAAATACCTAGAGTTCGAGACAATAGTCGCGTAATTAATAACAAAAAATGCTCCAGGTTCCTCGAATCGAAATCCACTAAGATTTAATTTATTTTATATTATTAATATGCTGGCAAATAAAGCCAAAATGACTGCTGAGCAGATGTTTCAAATTTATGGGTTAATTTAAGAATATATTAGCTTTGGATATAATTTTTAAAAAAATGCTTCTTACTATTAGAAATTCAGATTATATAAAGCATCACAGAGGAAACAAAGAGTACAGTCACCATGTGCTTTACTGTTCAACTATATAAGGGTAACACAAACAGGAAACTTTGCTTAGAACAAAAGAGAATTGAGTCTATACCAGTGATGGTGAACCTTTTTCTTACAGCGTGCCAAAATTGTGTGCACATGCACTATCGCGTGCATACGTGTGCCCACTCAATCTCCTTGCCCACCTCTGCATGTGCACATGACCCGGAGCCTTCCTGAAGCCTGGGGAGGGTGAAAATAGCTTCCCCTGGACCTTTGGATTGGTGAAAAATCAGCTGGCTGGGGTGCGCATGTGCGCCGGAACAGATGGCTGGCATGCCACCAAATATAGCTCCGTGTGCCACCTGTGGCACGCATGCCATAGGTTCGCCATTCACGGTCTATACCATAGATCCAAACTTGTAAATACTGCCATCCACTGGCTGAATATTATTGTAGTTGTTGCACAGAGATGCATTCCAATAATGGATTCCAACACTTACCATATTTTTCAGAGTATAAGATGCACT